GGGGGGCCTCCTCCCTGCCCCTGCCCGATCTCGATCCCCAACAGCCTCTGCGCGTGCCCAGCTGGAGGAGTGTCGACGTTGGAGAGAACGCCCTTGGGGGCCCAGCTGCAGGAGCAGCCCTTCCTAGCGGAGTTATCCCGTCCCTGCCAGCTGGGAGACCGCCCGGCGGCTGCCCCAGGGAGTATCCGCCCTTCTCACACCTCCTCTGGCTACCGCCGGCCCACCGACACCTGGGCCCATCTGGGGAGCACTCCAGGCCCTGAGGCGGGCACCATCGCCCTGGCACGGAGGGGCCCCAGAAGGGGGTGGAGCTCAGTCCAGGCTCCAGACACTTTGGAGGCGGCAGCCACTGGCCCAGCCCCAAGCCAGGGGCCCGGGCATACTGACTTCCAAGACCAGTTGCACTCAGACATGTCGGGCACAGCTGGCATGGGAGGTGGCCCCAGGATGCACTACCCCACGTCAGTGGATTCAGAGGTGGGGCCATGGGGTGGGAGCTTCCTGGGGAAAGTGGAGCAAGGCCAGAGTTGGCAGGACCGCCACCCCAAGACACCAAACAGAGGCGACCAGAGAGGGACGCGGGCCGCACACGCACGCACCAGACCCAGGAGAGGGCGGTCTGCAGGCCCCCAGCCACCGAGAGCCGGCACCCAGCATAGTATGCACTACGGAGGCCTCGAAGTCAGGGCGCGCCACCCTGCACTGCGCTCGGGGACGAATCTGACCACTCGCTGGGGCCGCAGGAGGGCAGGGGGCCACGGGACCTGGAACTCTCGGGGCGTAAGCAGCCGAATCCCCTGCCCAGGCGAGTAGACATTCTCAGAAGTTGAATGAGAATTGATCACTTTCCCATTGTGGAGGACGATAATCAATTCAGCACCGGGATTGACACATGGAACGACACGGGGTCCACAGAGAAACTGTCACCTCCGTATGATGCATCTGGGGCAGCAGCTGGAACGGGTGCCAAGGGGCCTCCCTCTTCATGGCAGGGGAACAATCCTTCAGGGGAGGGATCGTGGTCCTTGTGGGGCAGAGCCAGGGTCCAGCTCCGGAGCCCACCGGCTGACCAACACTGGAGTGCGGGAGTGAAGAATGGTTGCTCAGTCACTCAACAAACGCGTCCGGGAAACACGGACCCCTCCTGCCCTCGCAGCACCCCGGTCTGGGAGTAGCAGACTGCACACGGCTCACACAGAGCCCGAGGGGTGTGGAAGGACAGAGAGGGGTGGCCTCACCGACGGGGCGCCTGGAAGTGGGAAGCTGGGGGGAGGAGAGGCGACGGTGCCTGAGAGGCCCCCTGAGCTCTGCTGCAGTGAACTGAAACGGAGGCTGGGCTCGGGGATGCAGGGAGAGTGAGACCACGGCCCAGCCGGTGCCCCCCGCTGCCGCATCTAACACCACAGGCACCCAAAGGACCCAGTGCAACACCACCCTCCAACTCACCCTTTGCAAAGAGCACAGGGAGGTGGGGGTGCACGGCCTGGGCAGGGGCGTCAGCGAGGCACAGCAGGGATAGAGGCAAGGATGGGGTGACTGCGTGTTCCCAGTGATGGCTCCCTGACAGGCCGTCACTGCACCCCCCCAAGGCTCCCCCTACAACTCAGACCAGGCCAGGGACCCTGGAGGTGGGGCCTCTAAGGACGACCCTGGAGGTGGGGTTCTCTTAACAGGCAGGGAGGCCGGAGTCCCCGGGGTCCGAGTTCACCGCCTAGGCCCCAGCAGTGAGCCTGCAAGCCATACCCCCCAGGATAAGAACAGGAGAGGCACTCAGGCACAAGCCCTGCATTAACTGTGAAGTGCTGTCCTCAAGCAAGTTCATCGCGCCCTGATGAGAAATAAGAAAATGGGGAAATCCTGAAACACCAGCTCCACAGTCCCGATGGAGGGCCTAGTGTCGCAAATGGTTGCTGCGCTCCGCTGCTAACCAAAACGTCGGTGGCTCGAGTCCACCCAGAGGGGACGCCTTGGAAGAGAAGCCTGGCAACCTGCTTCCAAAACATCAGCCGCTGAAAACTCAACAGAGCACAGTGCTACTCTGGTACACGTGGGTCACCGTGAGGCGGGTCGACAAATCCACAGCACCTGGTTATTGTCCTAATGCCATCTAGGCCCTGGAGAGAGGGGCCCACCCCACCCCACCGCCCAGGCTCCCCCGCTGAGAGTGCTCCACAGTCAGTTGCACACGCCCCCCCCCCAAGAAAGCTCCCCTCCAAAACCAAACCGGCAAGCGGCCACATTTTCAGGCCTGGCCGCCGCCCCGCTGAGCCCGCACAGCCAAGCCAGGGGGCGGGCGTGAGTCTGCCAGGGGGCGGGTGTGAGTCTGCCAGGGGGCGGGTGTGAGTCTGCCAGGGGG